GGGGAGGAGGGGGAGGAGGGGGAGGAAGGAATGCCGAACTTCAAACGCTTTGCGTTCGTGCCTACACGACCGGCCTTCAGACTGTCAAAGCAGAGAAGGACGGTTTCACCCCTGCAGGCGTCGAGATCTTTTGACTCCGCGCACTCGCGTCTCAGCCCTGCCTTTACAGATCGTCGAACTACACGTTCTGATTTACTCGGGGGTCTGAGTAAAGGGCGGCTTGTGAACCTCACAACATGCGTTTGTTGCGACTCGAAGTGGACCACCCGCAAGTCAATAGCGACGAAGGTGTCGCACATGGCTTGGTGCGCCAAGAAGAACCACATGTCCAATTCAACAGTGCAGGATCTCCTCCGGAAAGAGATGGACAAGGATAAGGGCCTTTCTTTTCCTCCTACGGCGAAACGGATGGAGAGAGCGCCTGGCTCCTCTTCCTCGCCGGCCCCCACTCTCATGGAGGATATTGTCAAGCACGAAACGTCCTTCGCCAGGAAACGTAGGCGTCACGTTGTCACGCCGATGACGATCCGGGAACCCGCCTTCGGCCACGAAGACATTTTAAAGCGTGCCCGTGCCAGGCTGGGTCGTGAGCATGGCGTTGCAGCAAGTATGACGCCAGTTCAGGTTTGTACATTAGTCGTCCCTGGAAGCGCCCAGTTACTCACGAGCTCCATTTTGATGTCATTTCTCAAGGATTGCGATGGTCTCCACGTCCCCCTTCCGGCGACGCAAGCATTCTTTCCTTCGAAATTAGGTGCTATGGCCCACCTTCAAGCGCCGGTGTGCATAAACAACACACTCTAGCAAGCGCCTGACCCCTGACATGCACTGCAGACGACAATTTTGGCCGCACATGCCGTGACTCGTAAAGGGTGACGTCGACGGTATAGAAAGACTGTACTTGCCGATACATTGTGATAAGTACATTGCCATGTAATGTCTGTCCTGCCTCTATTATACGCTTGTTCTTGTTGACCGACATTATGTGCCTTGGAACTTGGCACCAGAGTGTACTCACAAGTATGCGGTACTCAAGTTCAGCTTCCGTAGCGTGGCTCGGGTGATGGTTTGTCTCCCTGCTATCATCATGGTACGCGCCAACAAGAAAGGTGCGAAAGCAACCTAGGAATGCCACGCGCTATCATAGAAACCGGTCTCCTTCACACAAGTCGAGTCTGACTGTATACTGAAATCAAGACTCGGGTCGCTCAGATTTGGGATAGCGAGGCGCGTTCATCTTGTCGGCGCCGCCACTGAAGCAGCATCCTTCTGTATACCCGTACGAGCACAGACCGTCGGACTTGCTTGACATTGATGAAGTTATCGTGCTTTCCAGGTGACTAGAGACATGTCAAGGGGCCATTCAGGACAACCACTCCCATTCATGCCCGTTTATTTACACTCGGGCCAATAGGTATCGATTCTTGGTCCTCGCTTAAATGTTCGCTTCGGTCTAACCTACGCTCAAGTGGATCTTCAACGTATCGAGATACCCTTCATTGCACAGCATCCTGGATATCGCCGATGCGAATACGGCAGCAGTAGCATGAGAGCCATTGCAATCCTGTACACGGGGCAGTGACTATCAGCTTGCACCGCCTTGGCCCCAATAAGCCTGCTATTGCATTGTGGAAGTGGCGCCCGCATAGAGACGCAGATCACAGTTTGATGCGTCTTAGACGTCTCGTGCCGGGCAGCCGAGCTGCGGTTGTTAAACGCACCACGTAGCCCTGTCTCCGGCTTGGTCCTTGACTCACACCTTCGGTATCTCTCTCTAACTCACCGGCGCCGTCAGGATGAGCCCTCCCACTGGTGCTAAGATTGGACGGCCTACCGAATTCGGTCCGAGTCAAGCTGCACACTGGGATGGTCGGCAACCCCTCTATAACGCGTTGCGCAGAAGCAAAGCATCCCAGAAGAAAATGGGTAAATTCTTAGACGGCGAAACCATCCTTTTTTTCACAGTCTTTGGGTGGAACAACCCAATGCGTTGTGAGCACCCGACCGCCTCCGAGCCGACTACGGAGGCCATCGAGATACGCAGGGGGGAGGCATGTGAGGCGGGGCAGGTAGCCAGTCAGAAAACTGCGGGAGAGATGCACAAAGAACGGGACGAACTGGTGAAGCACGTCCGGCTTGTGAGATTTACATCGTGCACCTCGCCACTTCACTGTTTGATCTTATGCTGTGCGCAGTTGATGTCCGCGAGGTTTCAAGGAAAATATGACGGTCCCAAGAACACGAAAGTGGCTAAAACCAAGGTTCCGGCTGTCGCCAACAAGAACTCCAGCGCCGGCATACAAGAGATACTCATGACCTTCTTGACGAAGCCAACTCTGGGACAGTTATGCAAAGCATGGGCGAAGTCTCGTCCCGGTTTCGAAACCGATGTGGATCGACGGTTAGCTGAGGTGAGGGTGGAAAAAGGCGACCCTAACTACGCTCGCATTGGGCTATGGAACACGATGGCATCAGAAGGCTATTTAGCGGCAAGTGCGGAGGAGAAAGAGGAGATAATGAAGAAGGCTAAGGATGCATTGGACAATCGGATGGAAGAGCGGAGGGAGCTTCTCGCAGAGCCGAAGTCGATGGCGGAGGCGTTGAGGTAGGTCTACCGATCAACTCGGGAAACGAATCTATCCTGGATGTCTAACTTGCTGTTTCAGGTTCATGGAGACGTCTCAATCATTTCTCGAAGATTTGATGCAGTTTTTTGCCGACCGGTGCGGCGGCATGGCGGTGATGGTAGTAGCTGGATCGGGGAATGTTGTTATGTAGGTTTATGATACTTGAATGAACAGTGCCGGCCTTGACACTTAGCACAGATCACAAGGGACTTGCGATATCGTAGGGAAACCAAAACTGTTGTATACAGATATTGAGGGAGAAAAACCTTTACTCGAGGGACTGGCGGGACGTATACACCAGCAAGCGTGTCTTGTCACGGGTAAGTCAAGGGCCTCGAGTTATGCGCTATCCAGAAGCATCTCATTCATATTCATAGAATCTAAATGGGGTATGCGCCTGTCGGATCACGCTAAAGATCCGCAACGCGCTACCCAAAGCTGGAGTGAGCAAACGGGCACCGTCATGTCGCAAAGTCAAGAGCGTTCCGCGATCGCGCCTATCATTGACGAATTACCATCGGTCAATCACAATGAGGAGGGAGGCAATGATAAGGGCACGGACGACATCTACTACCAGACGTTGGCTATGGACAGGATGCGGCTAGACGTACGGTTCATTGTTAAAGTTTGCATTATAGAGCTAAGTGGCTACAGGTGGAAGGCGATGAAGCTGTTAGAGTTCAGCCGAACACTGTCGCAACGCTACGCTCAGCATCAACGCCCGAGCCCGCATCTTCAGGCATGTTCGGCAGTCAGCAGAGCCATAGTATAGCGCTGCGGTCAACCTGCACCCGCGGCAGCTCTGTGACCAGATCTATGACTGATGATGCGTCGCCCGAAGCGTACGATGGAGGCTTGCTTTCTGCAGGATTCCCCCAAGCGGCTGAAGTGACAATCTCGCATTCGACGCAACCGGTGTTGGAAGTGCAAAGCCACACTTTCCAAGAGAGACTGGTCAACGATATCGTCACAGAGGTCGAGCCGGTAGACGCACATGATGCAGGAGGGCAGTGCCAGGAAGCCGAGAACCAGATGCACGTCGACTTGCAGGCATACGAGATGAACATATCAACACGTGGAATAAATTTGCAAGGTATGTTACATACTCTTTCCGCGCCCGCTCACAGACCTCAATGAGTAATCTTGATGCAGTAGGCGATAAAGGGGTACTTCCTGCGCTGGCCTTGGGACGACAAGTTTTTGAAGATCTATCACCTTTTGATATAACAGTGAGTAGAGATTGAAGACTGCACGCTACAGATTGTTCACTGTCAGACAAAGGAGTACGAACGGCGGTGTGCAGCAGACGGTAGTCAACTTGAGGGGAGGAAGGATTGGTGGTCTACGCACGGGATGACCAGATTCCTCATCACGGTCCCCTCGAAGCTGAGAGGACGGGTGAATCTCACGATTGGATGTAGAGCGGTGCTCGCTTACTTGGCGCTGGAGCTCAGTAACGCAGTGAGTACACTCAGTTGATTGCCAAGTGTCCACTACTGACGTTGAGCGTAGACCGACGGCATATTGGACCTTTCGTTAGGCGCGGAAGACGGAGAGAGCCGACCCGCGTATACGGCCTGGCTTAGAAATAAGCCGAACATCACGAAGACTGTTTGGCACCCACGAGCTAAGCTAGGAGAGAAGCGCAAGCCAGCCTCATTAGACGCCGACATTGGGCGACTCCTGACGGCACTATGGGTTCACCAGCAGCCTGAGTCACGCCGAGATGACAATGGCGACCTAAAGCACGCAGCCAACGTCAGCATGAACTGGCAAGGATGCCTCCGACCTGGACCAAAAGGAATCAGGCTACTGCTAGTAACATTGCTGTGCTGGGGAGGACAGAGTGAAGATGGCGAAGGGGAGAGATGGAACGCACTGGCTCAAGATTTTGCCAATGTCTGCGACATACTAGCAGCCCAAGGCGGGAAGTATCAGCCACCTCACGTCACTGCAGGCGTCGTGGACAGCGGTCCCCAAAAGCGTCCAAAGTATGTATTGAAACAACGAACGCGATCGAAAGTTGACCGACGACTGTGTTTAGGAAATTGACAGAAAAGGCAGCCTTGTTGAAAGAGGAGAGCGCGAATAAGAAAGGAGCGAAAAGATGACGAGGACATGAGGCAACGATATTCCACGTTCGCGAAGGCGAACTACGCGGCCTATGTCTCGCCGAAATAGTGCCATACCAGTATTGTAGTACCGTAGCGATAGTCGAACCGCGATGTCGTCACCTGGTTGAGGACTTGATGGGTTCGCGATGATCCAAAGACATGTCAGACTTGCAGCATGACGACATTCCCGCCGGCGCCGGTCTCGTCATGGTCGTCGCGGACGAACATCTGCGGAAGAGACCATGGAGAACGGGCCGAGACGGCAGATGCCGACAGCG